TAAATATTTTATAAACAAAATTTTTAAATGCAAAATTTAATTTAGAAAACTTTTACTTAATATATTAAAGACAGTTTCATAGATAAAATTTTCAGTTACAAACAGTTTTTTGAAATTTTTTAAAAAATTCTTATTTTTATTACACAACTGATCTTTTATTTTGATTTGCTAAATTATTGACATTACACTTAATCTTAAATTTTAGGTGTTACAAATAAGACATATAACAGGATGTTACAATTAGATTTATCCTATATTTAAATTAAAATTTATTTTCTTAATCTATTTATATTGATTTATAATTTATATTATATTTAGTTATAAAGTAATTATTTTAAAAAATAATTTTTTTAAAAGTATTTATATAAAATTTTCATTTATTTTTTTTAATTAAAAAAAAGTAAAAATAAAATATTATTATAATTATCTAATTATAAATTAAAAGTATTGTAAATCTTATAACATTGCTTAAAATCTATTTTTTGTATACTATTTTATTATAATATCATATTTATTTTATATTATTATTAAAAATTTTTTATTTTATCTATAAATTTTAATCAATAAATTTATAAAAATATTGTTAAATAATATGAATTTAAATTAATTTTATTATAGTTTTAAAATATTTATTTTATTACACAGTGAAATTCAATAAGCCAGATCTATCAGTTCTACTAAAAATATCTGATTTATCAGGTTACCTAGTATAACAAAAAGTTTTGATATATCAGATTTTATATAAAATCACATAAAAATCCAGTATATCAAATTTTATATGTGATATAACAAAAATAAACAATATACTTTCCTTTATTTAAAAAATTTATCAAAATATTTCATTTGCTAAAAAATAATTAAAGTCAAAAAAAATCTTCTAATTTATCCTGTTTCTGCTTTTTTCTACTATCAGAAATAATTTTATTTTTTAAATTAACAAATTAACTAAATTTTGTATATCTGAACTATTAATACCTAAATTATTTTACTGAACATATTTGATTAATTTTTTAATACTATTTAATATATCAGATGTAACTATAATTTCATGTTCTTCTTCCATCTCATCTTCTATTGCACTTTTGCCTTTAACTAAATTAACAATTTCTTCTAATGAGATTTTTTCTTCAGCAAGAATTTCATCATTAATATTAATATATTCTTCAATATTTAAAGGATCTGTAATCAGTAATTCATTAATCAATAGTTGCAATTCTTCAATATTATTATCTTTAATATCATTAACAATAGTTTTATTATCAGAAATATTAAAATTATTATCAGAAAGAATTTCAGCTTTAGCTTAACTATCACCAATAGTTTTTTTAGTTACTTTTTTTAAGCATTAGCAGCCAAATTAATTAAGTCAAGAATATTAATTGATGGTGAAGTTAGATCACCCTCTTCATAAAAATTATAAGCTTTAATATGATTTTTACATAATAATTTACGATATTATGCTTTTAAATTATAAATATATCTTGATTCATTGATTGAATATAGAAAGTTGTATTTGGTGGTAAAAAATAAACTTTAATATTTGAAAGATTGTCAATATTTTCACATTTGTGACATTTAGCATTATTCATTAATAAAATAATATGACATCTTTCTCTATTCATTTTTGAATTTAACCTCTCAAGGAAATACTTGAAAATACTTCTTTACATCCAAGCTTTAGAATTCCAATAATATCAAAAAGAAAGAGATTCCTTTTCAACTTTTTTTAATACTCATGATATTTCATATTTATGAAAAAAAGTAAAGAAAATTTTTCATCATCAGATGCAATGCATATTGCTAATATACTAATGTGTTTTTTAAGACATTTTTTACTAAGTACTGGAGCATGTGCAATTATTTTAGATGGTAATAAGCACTAAAAAAGTGTAGTTTCATCACAGTTCCAGATATTTCTCAACTCATATTCTTGAAAAACTTCTTGTAATTCAGCCCTCATTTATGAAATCTCATCAATTGATATACTACTTGCTTCTTCTCTAAGTTTAAATGTATGCAAATTGTTTCTACGTTTAAACTATCCTCTTGATGCTAAAAATTATTAATATCAAATAATTTAGCAAATTCTTTTGCCTTTTCTTGAATAATAGGATCACTAAGAATTAAGTCTCTTGAAATTTGTTGATCAATTCAAATGCTTATTACTTCTTTTACTTGTAGATAATTACTAAATTTTTCATGAAAATTATTTGTATTTAGTAAAGTAGTATCAATAGAAAGCCAGTACTCAGATCTTTTTAAAATATCAGAAACTGTACTTTCAGAAATTCCATATTCTTTTGCTAACTGAATACTATTAAGCCTTTGATTTCTACTTTTTTGCAGAGTACTTTTTTTGACTAAGTGTTAAAAGTTTTCTTTTTTTGTACTAAGAACTATTATTATTAACTCTTTTCATTTTTATATTTAAAGAAGATCAGAAAAGATAAAAAACTTGATTCAGTTAAAAAAAATAGATTATCAGATTATGTGAAAGTAATTTAATTAGTTAAAAGTATTATTAATCACATAATTTATTATATCGAATCATTTTTACTATAACTGATTAGAGTTTTGATTCAGTATAGCAAATATCAAGATTTTACTAATAAATTTTAGTATATCAAAACTATTTCAATATATGTAATTTAGTTTCAGCAAAAAAAATCTGATTTAAACCTAAATCCATTTTATCAAATATTCAGTTTATCGAATTTCACTATGTACTATATTAATTATGAAAATATTTAATTTAATAATAATAATTATAATATTATATATTTTTTATTTAAAGCGAAATGAAGGATTATATAATTTTTATGATTGATAGTGATGATAATATTTACGTAATCATTTTTAAATATCTGTATGCACTATCTCTCTAAAATTAATAAACAATAAATAATAAAATAATTAAAAAATAATAACCAATAAATAACATATAGAATTAGTGCAATATAATAATATTAAATGAATAAACAATTTTTGCATTACATATGACAAGTTACATATAAAATGAGATTAAGTTTTAGATAACAAAAAAATTTAAAGTGAGACATTTGAAATCATTGAAATTTAAAAATTTTTCTTCATCTAATCTCTCTTGTAATCTTTTACTTTCTTTAATATGTTGAAGTTTTTTGAAATCAAATGGTTTAAAAAGAATATCTTCAAGAATATATATTTGTGATACTACTATAAAGAAAATACCAATAGCAAATTCTTTTTCGCCAAGATCTATTATAGCTTTTCTAATATAAGACCTTGATTTTATGTATTGTAATTACCTATACAAGTTAAATAGAAATTTGTAAGCATGAAGAAAACTTCAGATTTACTATCTCATGTATAACAAATTAGTGTAATTAGAATAATATTTTTATCTTTTAAGCTAGTAATCATAAGACTCTTATAATTATTAAAAGAGATCAGGATTATTATAGGAAAAGAAAGCAGTCTCTGGTATTTTTTGAATAATAAATCTTGAACAATTCCTATAGAACTATTAACTAGTCTAGCTTCTGTTTACAGATTAATATTAATATGACATATGCTTCTTTTACTAGCAATATCTGTACTTCAAAATTGTATGTTATATCAGAATTAGCTTTTTTGTTTTATTACCACCTGTATGCATAGCTTAGATTTTTGTAACAGGAACATTTAAAGATTTAAATTAGTCTGTATTTACTACATTAAAATTTGACTATTTTGTTAGTATAAATATAGCTTCAGAGAATCTGTTAGGTTCTGTTCTGCTGAAATTATCTTTGATTCGTGATAAAAGTTCTCTAATCAATTCTTTGTTATGTAACCTTAGAAAAATGTTTCTAAATTCCTGTTGTTTTCTAGAATACTCTGATTGACATTAGATAATATAGAGTTTGTATGCCTCTTTGAACTGTTTGTATATTGTAAGACTACTATTAGATAATGTATCTCACTTAGTACTAGTATACATAGAAAGATTGAATATAGATGAAAGCTGGCCAAAGTTATTAAATATAATAACTGATTTTCTGCTAAATTGTTTATTATTATGTTCGAAAAATGCTTGTCAGAGTTATAAGTTAATTAAAGCAAGCATTTGATGACTGATCATACTTTTCTCATTGATTATTATGTAACTTATATCTTTTAATTATCCTGTAGTTGCTTTAACATTATAAGGTTTATATCAGAATATCATTATATTAGATTATTAATCCAATTATGGTTGTGATCTATATTTTGAGATTCTAGGTTAAAGAAACAATTAAAACTTAGATTCAGACCTATTTCTACAAGAAACATCTAATTAGATATAAATTCATCTGCTTGTCATCAATTAATTCTTTTCCTTCATCAATAATCTCACTTTTTATATTATTTACAGATTATCTAAGTAGTTTTTAGATTAAGATAAGTAATGAATCTTCTGATTGATTTTTATTAAGAATTTAATTTAATATATGTGAAAAGGATGCTGGCTGTAATTCTAATTTACTTGTATACTTTGAAATGTATTGCAGCATAACATGCATACTTAAAATTAACTTTAAATTTACATTAGCTCATTAGCTTTGCAGTTGAAGTCAGTTATGTAGATTGACATATGGATCATTTCTTATCATTATAAGCTCTAGTTATTCATATTTATTATCTTTCATAAATATTTATTCATTAATTTCTTTAGAGTATTTAAACCTGCAGTTCTGTTTTTTTTCTCAGTCAATATAAAGACAATACGTAAGGCTACATTAGATATGTTTTTTTATTTTATTAACTAAGTTGATATTTTTTACTGGTCATCATACAATTCATTACTTTTCTTTTGATATAAATGCTATTTAGAAACAGACATATTAAGTCCTAAATTTATCATGATTATAAGACTATCAAAATATTTATAATATCATTTATTGTGTTTTTATCCTCTTTTATTTGTTTCCATTTTATAACAGATGCATTTCTTTTTTTTCTAATTATATGTATAGTATCTGGTAATAAATCACCGGTCACGTGACACTGATCAATTTTAATGCAAATTTTTAATTCAAATTACTCGATCATTATTACATCAAATTTAATAAAATTTTTTTTATTTGCACGATAAAAAACTTTAGCTATTTATTAATACTTTGTAGGATGACCTTTATTTTTTATAACAGTAGCAACTCGACGAGGCATGCTATCAACAAGATTTTAATATTTATTAACATCAAGATTTGACCACTCCTCTTGAAGTATTTTCCATAAATCTTCCCTATTTTTTGATAATGAAGTGTATGCCTACACCTGCCTTTCTAATTTATCTCATAATTTTCTATTGGATTAAGATTTGGACTCTGTGCCAGCCAGGGAATACTATTCACTTTATGTTTTACTTTCCATTTTTTAATAATATTTGCAGTGTGTATGGAAGCATTATTCTCTTGAAAAAAATAATTATCCTGATTATCTAAACCTTTTAAAAATGGAATTAAATTATTTTTAACACTTTCTTATATACCGTAGCTGTTACCCTCCCTTCTAATTTTACTAATAAACCAAGATTATATTTTGCGAAACATTCCCACACTATTACTCCTTGTTGATCTGACTTTACTGTAGGAATTAAATACTTCACATCATACTTTTCATTAGGCCGCTTCCAAACCCACCTTCTACCATTTCCTCCAAACACTTTAAACTTGGATTCATCACTCCAAATGATACTTTCCCATTCATTTATCTACTCTTTTCTTTCTTTAGTCCAGGCAAGTCTTTTTTGCTTATTTTTTTTACTTACGAAAGGTTTTCTTACACTAACTCGACCATAGAAACCTTGTTCATAAAGGTAAGTACTTAAAGTTTTTTTACTAACTTTTATTGAAGTGGAATTGACAAATTCTTTATGTAATTCCTGAAGGTTCATTTTTCTATTTTCTTTAAGAATTCTCATTAAATGATGACCATCTCTTTTAGTTATTATAGGTGGTCTACCAGTTATAGGAGCAAGCGTTTCGTCTCCACAAATTTTATAAGCAGAAATAACATCATAAATGGTACTTTAGGGATGGTTTAAAGCTTTACCAATCTTTCTTTTGCTTATTCCACATTTCCAAGCACCAACGACTTCATCACATTCAAAAATGGAAAGTTCTTTTCTTTTAAAAGCCATATTTAAATAAGAAAGATTTTAGTAATACGTGGCAAAAAACTAGAGGTGTATTAATAAGAAAATGGCTGAGATAACAGGTTTTAAAGATAAACAAATAATGATCAACAATCACATGACTGGTGACTTTTTGTCAGGCACTATACATAAATACTACCATGATGTTACTAATTGAACTTATATCACCAATTCTACTGCTGTTTCAAAATATTATTAAAGAATATTTCAAATATAGAGCTTCAAATAGGTTAGTTCAGGTCAGATCAATCAAGTTATTTGAACTAAGAGGATCAGATCAGGTCAAACAAAAATCTGACCTGATTTAAATTTTTATTTGACCTGACTTGACTTGATCTAATCTAACTTAATTTGATTAAATTATTTAAAAAACAATATATTATATTTGATTCAATTTATAACTCTAATTTATTTTGTTATTTTTCTTTTGCTTTTTCTGTAAAAAAAATTGTATGTGAAATGATATGAAAATTTTTAATTTGATGATTAATTACAGTTATATAATTAATTATAGTTATATGATTAATTACAATTACACAATTAATTATAGTTATACTGAAAATCAATTTTCTAATCTTTTTTTAAACTGATTTTTTTTTTTTAACAAAAAAAACACTTTTATTTTATTGGTATTCGGACGTTTCGCCAAATCCATTTCGTCGAAACTCACTTCGCCGAAGCTAATTCATTGAAAGGACTCTTCGCCAAATGACCACTTTGCTGAATGGAATTTTCACAGAAAGAATTTTTCGCCGAAATACCATTTTGCCGAAAGGTCACTTCACCAAAATGCTGTTTTGCTG